CATTTTTCCTATTTTAATAAAAAAATTTCTATTTAATTAAAAAGTTCTATTTAATAAAAAAAAAATCCATTAACTGAAAATCTATTATATGTAGCCTCATTTATTTGATGCACATTGCTTAAAAATTTTCCTATACTACATTTCAAGTAAATTCTAATATTTCAATAAACTTATGTATACAGATTTTAAGACAAATTTATGATTTTATGGAATATTTTTGAACAACCGGATACATTTATATTAAATTTATACATATGTATATCTGGAAGTACACTCATGTCCAAATATATGTAATCTGGAATCCTAGATATGACCAAATATACTAATTCCTAATTCTGGAATATATTATAGGATATGTTCGATATATATGGAAGTCCAAATATCGTCCGATTGTATATTCTTATATTCAATTCCACATAAATTTCAATAATTGTGAATATATATATATATGAATCAAATATATTTGTACAATGGACAATGATGAAAAATTTTTCTCAGAATTTTTCATATTAACTTTTTAGAATTTCTATATATAATTTTTCAGAATTTCTCTATAATTTTATAACTTTCTCATTTTTTTATACAAATTAGAACATTTCTCTGAAAATCTTTTCTCAGAATTTTTCATACGTATATGTATATGTTAATATCATATGTATATGTTAATTATGAAAAATAAGATTTAAGATTTTTTTGTAAGTATAATTTCTGATAAAATGTTACAAAATCTAAAAAAATTAAAAAATACTTTTTAAAAATTATGAGGTGAGAAATTTCAGAATATTTCAGAATTCACTTGTATGAGAAGTTCTGAGAGAAGATATAAACTTTCCGAATATTTCTGAATACTTCTGAAAAATGTTCCAATTCGTATAAAAATTATGAGAAAAATTTTTACCAGGAATATACATTCAAATTATACAAATATTTGTAAATCCAAATATGTCTTGGACATATTGCAGTATGGAAATACCATAATATATAGTACTAATATATAGTACTAATATATAGTACTATATATATAATACTAATATATATGTTCAAATATAGTCTAGAATTTCTTAATCAAATATAGTCTAGAATGATAGATTTAAGTCTAACTCACATATGTCGATATGTCCAAATTATACAAATTCCAAGTATATATAAATATAAGTCATACTTGGAAATGCTATTATATCTAAAGATATGAATTCCAGATACTTCCAAATATGTAAAGTTTATTTGAATACACTCAGCATTCCATAATAACTTGGGTGTATTTTCACTTGCAAACTCGAGAATACATTTGAACACATTTAGAATTCCAAAATTAATTGGAATATATCAGTACGTATTTCCAATTAAAAGTTGATTAGAATATACTTGAAATTTCAAGTGACTTTGGAATATATTTGCTTTTACAAACAACAATTAGTTTGGCTAAATGTGAATTTCGAGATATAAACATTAGCTGTCCACTGCACAAAACCGCATTTAGCTAAATATGTGTCAATCTCTCTTATTAGAACTTATTTGGAATTTAGTGCAGGGATATAAGAGCTATCCAAAATTAGTTGCTATACATTTATACATAAGTGAGTCTGAAGTGAGCTAAATATTTTACATTGAGATTAATGATCATCAATACTTTGGTAAAAAATTGTACATAGGCTCATAATCTCACTTTGAAGTGAGTTTATGACACAGAACTTACAGTGATGGAAGAGGAATACGGATGTCGGCTGTGAACAAAATCTAAAGACAAAAATATCTTTCTATCCTTTTCTTTTTTGACACATACGCAGAAAGAAGTTAATGAGCAGGACAGAAATACATCTTCTGTTTCTCAAATGTTGCTCACATTCATTGCTTCGATAGGTTATTCCGATTCCATTACTTACTTATAAATTTTATGGTTTACGAAATTCACTAAAGCACACGATCTTGTGCAGATTATAGAAAGAACTCAATTGAATCTCACTTGTCAAAATACAAAAGAAACATACAAACTATGTACAAAATAAGTACAACAAGCAACTAATAAGTTTTTAAATTTTAATGCCGCAGCAGTAGTGCGGTCGCGATAGTGCTAGAGTCACTATAATAAGACAACAGATCAGAAGAACGCCATTGATGAGACCTCGTTTACACACTCACACGTACAGAGTACGTTACACAACTCACATTTTCACTAACACATACACGGTACATGTATACAAACACATGTTTTCACTAACACATCGCACGGATCCAGAACCAATCCTGAGGCGAATCGGTTTTGTCTTGATTCTCATTATAGTGACTCTAGATAGTACTTGTATAATGCAGTGCATTACATCCAACTTATCGAAAACAAGAAAATGCAGTACTAAAAAGTTGATAAAAAATTCTGAAAAAATTCTTAGAGTTCTATAAGAGGAAAATAAATGATTTTTGCAGTTTTTCTGTAAAGTTGATGAGTATTTGAGTAAAAAATAAACGTCGATAAGTCGCTACTAAAACCCAGCGAATTAATGCACTACAATGTACGTGAATTTGTCGATTCATTGGCAAGAGATTGACACGACTTTCAATTATTGGCTCAGTGCATACGCATTGTAGAGTGTGTTTATAATGTTTAAACAAATCGCAATGCCTGCCACTTGTGAAATACGATCTGAATCAGTTTCTTAAATGCGCAGAATATTAATGCTGAAATTCAAATTTCAGCATTAAATCAAATTTGTGAAATGTATATATGAATGTATACATGCAATAATCGAGTGATTTAATAAGTAAGAAGATGGATATGACTTTTAAAAAGACGATAATAAAAGACGCACAAATATGAATGACAATGAACAGAGCAGACGACCATAATCTGATTAATAATTAATTGATGCGTGCAGAAAAAAAAATTAATTTGTAATCCTCGCTTGCTTGCCAGCGATTCCACGATGACAATGAGGTCAAAGAAGCTGTCACATGATGATTTACCTTACAGGCGGCAATTTTCTACAATGAAAGGATATCTAGTGCTTTGCTATAATAAGTGCATCAACAACAGCGGCAACTATGGCTATGTTCCAAATTTACTGCCAGTACTGAAAATGCTACAGTTTATGTTGCGTGCACTATAGATTTTCAGTACTGGCAGTCAATTTTGAAGAAACACAGTCTATATAGAAAGATAGTGTAAGGTGTGTATTTTAAAAAGCAATAAAATTTTATGTAAGTATACACTTGTTTTCTTTAAATAAATCATCAGAACTTATTTTCTGGTTAATCCTCGTATATGTATTTTAAATGAACTTATTTCAGAAATATATCCCGAGATAATATTTTTCGCAATAAGGCTCTGCCCATAATAGAAGCAATGAGGAATTAGGAATAAATGATTTTAACCTATCAGAAATCGGAATACACGGAAAACCTTTACAGGTTTT